AAATTATTTCAGTCCCATTACAAAGTTTGCACTGCACACCCACGCACCCACAAGCCTGCACACCCATCCCCATTCCAGTGCTTTCACTTGTCATTGTCGTACTCGTCATCATCATCATCCTCATCACTGTACTCACCATTGTCTTCATTCTCTTTTTCCACAAGAACCTACAAAAGGACCACAGAGACTTGACCTGGCTAATAGCACACCACGCTCTCCCAATGAGGGTGTGGAGACACAGAGAGGGATGAAGGACTGACCCAACCATCCCAGGAAAACCTGCCAAGATGATAGAGAGACCATCAACCACCTCCTATGGCTCTGCCCCTATGCCAAGGGAGTGTGGAAAAAGGTAAGCCGACCCCTTCAAGTGGTGGCAGGAGTCAGGCTGATGACAAGGGAGGCAGCACTGTATGGACACCTGACTAAACAGCAGGGGTTCCTAACAGCTCGTTTCGACCAGTTTGAGAAAATTGGAAAATTGGGAAGTTAGATCAGCATTGACACTGCCCTAAATTGCACCACCACTTGGGCAGCATGAGGGGGACTCAAAATGACTACTCCCAACCACACAAGGGTGGGATAACTCAGAATTAGGCCCACGTGGGGCAGAGTCTGGATTGCCCCCATGCTCCAAAGAAGCAGTTGTCTTCTCCTGTAAGAAGTGGGGCCCAAACACATGTGGAGGAACAAGACAGAAAGGAATGAACAAGGTGCAAAGCATGTCTGAAAAACCAAAGCCAGGACACTTCCAGCACTTCCATCCTTCCCTCCGTTGCATGGCTAGAAGGCAGGGGGAGGGATATAACCCTCCCCCCACCTGACACAGAGGAACAAGTGAGGCTGATCTATTCATGGGCTGCCTATACATGGGGGAGTATTTGGGGAGAGAAGTTGCATAATAAACCTTGATCTTGCCCCACTCTCCCTGCTCACAAGGGTCTGTGGGTTGCAGAGACCTGGACCCTCAGCGTCATTCTCCAGCCCCTTCATGGCACAAGATTATTTACCATCACAGGCTGTCACGGGGCAACAGGCACCAGGAAATAACATGACACGACTGTTGTTCAGCAATTGGCTGGTGCGCTGGGGGCTGACAGGCTGGAAATTCCCAGCCAGGGCTGCTTGAGTGATGCAAACCCTCATGCTTGTGCCTGGGCGGCTGAGGAGGGAGAAAAGAGACTACTAATATTCTCACAGCAGAAGCTGGTGACCTGCCAACCTCTGCAGCACCACTGAGGGCAGAAACACCTGGCAGCAACACCACTGAGCCAACACCTGAATGAGTCACAGAAACGTAGGGCTGGAAGGTACCTCAAGGTCATCTAGTTTGACTCCCTTGCTCAAGGGAAGATCATCCCTGATTAAGCCATCCAAACCATGTGTTTGTACAACTGGATCTTGAAAACTTCAGGACCTGTATCACTAACCCCAGATTGGGGTTCTATTGTGCTCAGTACTATCTAGTGACATAGTGAGTGAGAGACTCTCCCTGCCCTGAAGAAGCAGGGTGGTGCTCTGCTCAGGGCTGGCTTTGGAAGTGGGAGAGCTGAGGTCCATTATCTCTGCCACAGACTTCCTGCATGGCCTTAGGCAAATTCTTTAGACTCACATCCTCAAAGGGGCTTGACCAATAGCATACTGGCTAGTCTGGGATGTGGTGCTTTGTTTTCCTGGTGGAGTTGTTCTTTTTTGCATAAATTATTCAATATTCATTGGAGGAGGAATTAATGCTTTGTCTCTGTGGGGTCCTGACTGCTGGCTTTTCTCTCTGGCCCAAGGCATACGTAATGGTCCATACAACACGGTGCAGCTCCATCTGGGGAAACAGAAAGAGCCACGCTGGAGCCAGCAATAACCCAGTGACTAGAGCACTCATGTGGGATGTGGGTTCAAGCTCCAGCTCCAAATCTATTAGCCCAAGACAGGCAACCTGCACAAGTATGTTGCCTAAGACTCGGCCCTTTTTCCCTCTGGCTCCCTACACAGCTCTCCCTGAAAGTCCCTTCCTTGGGCACCCAACTCTCCTCATACACTGCCTGGGGTCTGGGCACCTACCCTGAGCCCAGGACCAAGGGTTCCCTGAGGCAGCAGGGCACCACACAGTCTGTACTGCAGCCCCCGCTGCATCCTGGGAACAATCGCCCAGCCCTACATCAGAGGGGTGAATAAATTACAGGCTCAGCTCAGTGGCTGTTGTGAAGACTGGGTGAGCATGTGGACTGAGGAGCCTACACGGCCTACTAAGTAACCTACAGGGAAAGGACCAGAGCTTAGGAGGGTCATTAATTATTACTGTCGCCAGTGTCTTGAGGGGTAGTCTCAGCCCTCTGTCACTGTGGGGATGTAATGTTGTCCTCTTCTTGGGCTGCTGGAATCCCTCATCAGCCACTGCATTACCGGGGATTTGCACCAACATCCTGGCAGAGAAAACCCTCTGTGCACCATTTCCTTGAGCCCTCTGGCCTGACATGTGTCTCTGCTCCATGGAAGCAGGATTCTCTTTCTTTGAGCAGTTCTGCAGTCTGTGAAGAGAAGCTTTATCAGCGTCAGTCGCTCACAAAAGGGAGGGCTTTTTGGAGGACTCCACAAGGCTGCCTCCCTGCCCCTGCCATGAGGAGCAGTGGTGACAGCAATGGGGAAGCAGGGAGCCTTTTTTTTTTTTTTGAAAAATATATTTCTCTCTATATATAGTTATATATATATACAGCATCCCGGGTAAGCATTTCTATACAAAGCTTAAAACGCATTTAAAACCCATGCACCCTTTATAATGGTCACCCACATGCATCTGCGCCCCCCACACACCTGTTCACGGTCCTTTCCATAACACAGTCTCTTAGTTTTCATCCTGCTGTTGGGGTTTACATTGTCTGCTTGTTCCCTGTCTTGGTTGTTGTCACACTCACTCTCACTGTTGCTTCCACTACTGCTGACACTACTATTGTCATCATTGCTGTGTCGAGGTCCGGTTGTGTCACTGTCATCTTCATTATTGCTGACCAGTCAGCCTCTCTGAGTGTCTTTGAATAGCTTTTGCCAAGAGTCCCTTTGCCAAGTGGAGTTGGCTGCTTCTTCTCCATCCTCTCCTACCACTTTCTGGTAGTAGGATCGGAGTTCACTCAGAAACATTTTGACACAGTCTGTTTCCTCGAGCTCCGTGTCTATACACCAGTAGGTTCCTGCATTGCCACTGGGCGCTCCTGACGCAGGACACAAACTGGTTGAAGTGAGCTGTTGGGGCACCTGCTGTTTAGTCAGGTGCCCATATAGTGCTGCCTCCCTTATCATCAGCCGGACTCCGGTCACTTCTTCCAGGAGCTGGCTTACTTTTTTCCACACTCCCTTGGCATAGGGACAGAGCCATAGGAGGTGGTCAATGGACTCTCTATCATCTTGGTAGGTTTCTCTGAGGTGGTTGGGTCGAGTCCCTTGTCCCTCTCTGTGTCTCCACACCCTCACTGGGAGAGCACGGTGCGCTATTAGCCAGGTCAAGTCTCTGTGGTCCTTTTGTAGGTCCTTGTGGAAAAAGAGAATGAGGACAATGGTGAGTACAGTGATGAGGATAATGTTGATGATGATGATGACGACGATGAGTATGACAATGGGACAGCAGGGAGCCTTACAACCTAACACAGGGATATGGCATAGAGTGCTCCCCCGCCAACCCCAACCTCGGGGGCATCAGAAGAGCTCTCCCCAGTGAGAGAGCTGTAGCTCCCCCTCTGCTTTCAACCTTTTTTAACCCTTTCTAGTACCCACCCCTAGCACTGGGCAGTTGGGTTCTCAGACAAACAGGCTGAGCCCTGTGTGTGACTGGTTTCATGATGCTCTCTGGCTGCTATGCTGCAGATAAGTTCATCTATGATCCTTGGAAACCCACTATCCCACTTTGCTGTGCAGTTGACTTCCCTGTGACCCACTTGGGAACTGAATGTTACTTCCAGGCGCTCACCTCATCTCAAAACTCCTTGTGTCATTGCTTGTTCCAGGGATTTGCAGAATGTGTGTATGTGTGTGTGTGTGAATCAAGGGCATGCCTCATTCTTCATGAGGTATAAGCTAAGGGTGTTTGTGGATCTAATTTATGAATCAGTGGATCTCAACCTTTTTGGATTTAAGGCGCCCTACACTGGACTCAGGGCTGCTCTCTATAACTTTTGTGAATTGAGTGGCAACCGATTAAAAACTACCTTATACATTACAGCGCTCATGCCCTCGCAGAGCTGCAGGATCTACTTATCTCCTCACAGCTCACTAATCCCCTCACACCCTGGGGCACCCTTCAAAGGATCTTCAGGGACCTGAGTTCAGAGTCACTGACACAGACGGTGTGCTTCTGTGTCTAGATTGTGTGTGGATCTGCACACCTGTAAGGCAAGTCTGCTCTCGGGTGGACGGACCATGCCTGATGCCAGGGGCGGATCCAGGGGGTGCACTGGTGCCCTTGCACGTCCCTTTGATTCCTGCTCCACCCAAAGTTTAAAACCAACTGCCTGGCAGTGGCGGCAGCATTTCTAGTCAGGCTGCCTGAGGGAGTCACTTGACTTCATGGCTCATTAAATTCTACCTGATTCTTGGAAGAAAGGGGCATCGGTAGCTATTGCACGTGGTGGCGAGGGGCGCAGCCAGCGACCTACAACCTCCCAGACCTCGAATGGCGGAGGCTGGCGGCG